TTCTAGTGTAACCTTGAGCTTGAAAGATTGGGTGGCTCCCAAGGAGCTGTGGCATTCAATGAGCGATGACGAGCTGATGTGACGTGCCTCGATGTTGCCACGTATCGAGGAGTATCCTTACAATAGGACTCCAAAGGTGGCTTTCATGTTCTTGAGCAAAGGAAGATTGCCATTGGCACCTCTTTGGGAGAAATTCTTTAAGGGATATGAAGGCCTTTACTCAATCTACCACCATACATCCCCTGAATTCACTCAAGAAGCACCACAATCCTCTGTGTTTTACAAGCGCCGAATACCTAGCAAGGTCAAATTAATCGTGGTTTATCAGTATTCATAACATTAAAAAACAAAAAATCAGTAAAACTTTCTCGTATCAAAAATTATAAAATTCTGTCTTTTAGTATTAACAGATATCTTCTTTTTGTTTGATTTCTGTTGTTACAGCCTACACAATGGGGAAGATCAACAATGATTGATGCAGAGAGACGCCTCTTAGCAAATGCTTTACTAGACTTCTCCAATGAAAGATTTGTTCTATTATCCGAAACATGCATTCCTCTATTCAACTTCACCACTATCTACAACTACCTCATCAACTCTAACCAAAGTTTCCAGGGCTCGTTCGATGACCCTAGATACATGGGTCGTGGGCGGTACAACAAGTTAATGCATCCAACCATTTCACTATCCGACTGGCGCAAGGGCTCGCAATGGTTCGAAATCCATCGAAAAATCGCCGTTGAGATCGTCTCCGATATGACATACTATCCTGTCTTTAGAGACCACTGCAGGCCCCCATGTTACACGGATGAGCACTATTTTGCAACACTAGTGACAAAAAATTGTCCCGAATTGAACTCAAATAGGAGCATTACTTGGGTTGATTGGTCCAGAGGTGGCTCGCACCCTGCAACATTTGTGAGAAATGACGTTTCAGAAGCGTTTCTGAATCAAATTAGGCATGGATTTAACTGTACATACAATGGTTTCTTGACCACAATGTGCTTCCTTTTTGCCAGAAAGTTTCATCCGAATACTCTTCAACCATTGCTCAGGATTGCTCCAGGATTACTTGGATTTGATCCTTAGCTAGTTACATACATTACAATTCAACATGTGAAATTATTATTACAGATTCATAGTACTCGTCGGGTAATGTTATTGAACTCTTATATTCCAGACTATGAAAGTAGTAATTTGCTCATGTTACAAAAAAAAAATTTTGTGCATCCGCTGCGTACATTAAGCCTGTTTGGCCGAGCTTATAAGCATTTGAAATTTAAATAACTACGTATTTGGTTAAAATATTTATAAGTGATCGATAAGCAGTTGATACGTTTGATAAAATATGGTTGATAAGTACATTTTATTATTAAAATGACTAAAAATAGTATTACATTATTTTATCAAATAATAAATTACATTAACTCAATTTTTTAGTATAATATTATAAAAATATATCTCAATCATGTTACAATATAATTTAATTTTAGAATCAAATAAACAATATTTTATAGACAAACATTTTATTAAAAATTATATGAATAATTTTTAGATTCTTTATACAAAATAAACTAATGAACAAATATAATGAATTAAATAGGGGTAACGTGGTAATATACCTAGTCAAAATAGATTATAAGTAGAGTGCTTATAAATTTTAAGCAATTACGTGTTTGGTTAAAGTACTTATAAGTGACTGATAAGTAGTTGCCGTATTTAGTAAAATATGGCTTATAAGTAAATTTTATTATAAAATAACTAAAAATGGTATTACATTAAACAAGGGTATACTATGAAATTTTAAAATTAAACAAGGATAATGTGGTAATATACTTGGTCAAACTAAAAAGTACCTCCCCCCAACTACTTTTTTTTTTTTTTTTTTTTTTGCTTATAAGCTCAAAAAAGTTATAAACAAATAAATAAACAGGTCAGCTTAATTTTAGAACTTATAAGCTAGTTTGACCAGCTTATAAGCTTAAACAAACACTCCCTAAGTATAAGCCCAAAAAAATTATAAACAGATAGATCAGTTTAATTTTAGAGCTTGCCAACTTATAAGATTAGACAAACACCTTTATAATTAATCATAAAATCATAAAGAACGAGAGTGGTTCACTAATATTAATGTAACATATTCTTATCCGTTGACTATATGTGTAACAAATACACAAAAGACTTTCTCTAATTCCGATATGATTAATTATTTAAAATTTGGGTTTAGTCTTAATTAATTCAGTAATGCTAGACTTATCGACCCAATGACCGATTTTGACATACCGACTCACCTACCCAATTACCCAAATCTCAAAATTTAACTCAATTTACATGAGTCAGTATGTCAAATCGGTAGTTGAGTCGGTAAGTTTAGCATTACTGTAATTAATTACACAATTAATTTGCAAGCTCGTAAGAATGAATAAAAGAGTGCTTGTAAATAAAGCTGTTTAGGTGGGTATACAAAACTTGATTAAAATACTAAACCTAAAAATAATGATGTCTAAAATAAGTGTGTTTAAGAAAGAGATTGGCATGAAAAGGGTCTTAATCACTTATGCATGTAATGTAACAATAAAATTGGAAAACAAAGAGGGATCTTATGGGTGTTGTATTGTCCTCATCTTATCAATGAAAATGAAAGGCATTAGTTAATTGATTAATTTACGAGATTTATCCATTTCATCGTCACACATAATATGTATCGTTCCATCAATCATATGCATGGTGCACTTTAACTATATATATAATTTTTTTTTATTATTATTATTTTCTATTGACACATATATTGTACATCTAATTCATATCTATATCCTTATATTACATAGGAGTTTCATCGAATTAGTTTTTCTAACGTGAGAAAATCTTTTTTTTTTTTTTTTTTTTTTTTTTGTAACCAAGGTGTTCGGACCAACTTAAGGACGCTTTAATTAATCCCTTGTTAGCTTACTTCTCCCATGTAAATCGTAAAGGTTTAGATGGAGAGTCAAACCTGAGACCATACATCTATTTACATTATCTCTAGTTCGTCGTAACCATATGGACTATCCACGAATGGGTTTTCATGAGAAAACCGTTAAAACTTAAAAGGCAAAAAAAAAGTATACAATAAAGTTAAATGATGGAGTGAGAACTTTGTTTTAGTAGGGACAAGAAAAAAAAATTGAAAATTAAAGTTTTATTAGATTAAAAACATGAAAAATACTGTTACAATAAGACCTTTTTATAGTGATACTTTATATAAGAATAATTTTCATATAGTTATAAGAAGTTTAGGTTTCAATTTGGCCTAGTTGTAAATCAGAATAAACTTCATGTTATAATAAATTATAATTTTTTAAAATCCCGTCTTAAAGAACTTGTCTCCTCATAGTAATAATTATCTATATATTATAAAAAAAATATATTATGTTACATTAATAAAATATATATTTTATCTTTATATCACTTGCACTAAAGATAATTAAGTCAAAATAATAATTTTTGCAACTATACTTCTATTAAGTTATAACTTCCTCATTAGGGTGAAGTCGAGCCGTCCGGTTTGATTCAATAAAAAAAAGGACTCCATATTCAATTTTTTTTTTAAAAAAAAAAGGGAAGTAAAGAAAAGAAAAGAAAACATTTAAAAAATAGTGGTCAGTGGTCACAATAGACCACAAGACTACTTTTATTTTATAAAAATAAAAAATAAAGGGTGTTCGTTATTTAAAATATAATTAAAAGTTGGGAGGGCATGAGCCCCTACTGGGCCCTTAGTGGCTGCGTTACTAGATTAAACATGCTTAATTAATTTAATTATACTATTAACTATTCAATTAAATAAATTAATTGTAGTGACTCATCAAATTATATATATATATATTTTTAAAGTCTTTTGATAATTCTCCCATTGAATTAGCAAAACGACACAACACAGTCCATGCGTGATTAAATGTGTGACCTTCAGTTGAGTTTCCTAATTTCAACTATTTCTCTTATCTAAACTCATGGAATATTCATGAACTACTTGTCGTATGGCTTCATTTAAGGACTTTTTCTAGGGACCTTTCCGCTTGTCGTGCCGGACATTTCCTGCAAACCAAAATCAAAATCCATCCAACGGTTCAAAACTCTTTGAAAATTTACACACGCAACCGACTTTTCTTTGATCACAAGAATCATCTATTAATAATTGGCGGCCGAGAATGCTTCTTCATTTCTTTTATCAAAATTCAAAAGTCCATTTTTTACGACTCAAGAACCCTAATAGGAATAGTGAATTTCACATTTTCATATTATTTTAAATATTATAAATGTATTGTATATGATAGATATTTATGTTTAATATTTTATCGAAAACATTATTATTTTTGTAACCGTTTCTGTATCCGTTTCGACCGTCGCATACTCGTTAGCAATTGTCGTTAACACTCTTCTCAAATAAAGATTATTAGACTTGTTAGGGTTCTAAAATAGCTTTCCTTTTTTTTTTTTTTTTTAATGAGGAAATTATTCTAAAATTAAATATTTCAAAATATATGTGTATTCGATAAATTTTTGTTTTAAATCTGAACATATATTTCTGACGTAAGAATTTTTATGTATTTATTTATAATATGATCCTAAAAAAATAGTAATAAATTCTTTATAATAGTAAAAAAGAAGTTCATATCTTATAATACCATATATAGAAAGTCCCTTATTTTGTATCAAAAATCAAGTTCAAAAATTCATCCCGCAACATTTTCAAAAATAAAAAATAAAAAATTCATAAACAATAAATACAAACCTTTTTTCTCTGAAACAGGGTGTCTGGACCAGTTTACGCACACATTAACTAATCCTTATAAGTGATTAATACAATATCTCACTGTTATTGCCGTCAGAATAAATAAATACGAACCTTCCCACGTGAAATTCTTAAATAAAAATAGAAAAAATGTCTTTATAAATGTCAACATGACACATATATAAATTAGTTGTTAGATAGAAGTCGTCTTCTACCTCGTTGTCTAGAAAGGAAAGCCATCAGTTAGGCAGCCTCTTTCGCATCATTTCTTCAAGCCCTTGTCAAACATTTTTTAATTGTTTCCATAATCGGATTCAACAGTGTTTTAAATCTGTTATGTGTTGTTATAATTTAATATTAAATCCTCGCACTATTGGTTTTAGATTCTTGTGTGTATACGTAGTTGTCAACTGACATCTCTTCTCACCAAAGAAAAGAAGTGTTCATCCTCTTCCCTCTTTCACGTATAGAATCATTATTCATTTTTTTTTTTTTTTAAAGCTTTCTTCAGAATAAATATAGCACTTTCTCTTCTTTTGGTATATTTTATTGCAGAAAACTATTCAAAAGGTTAAACCCTCTTCTGAAAGTCTATAACTTTTTTCTCAAAATGATGAAGAGCCCACAGAGCCAATCCCAGAACGCCATAGTTAGCTCATTCACAAAGCTCTTCAATGTCCAATTGCATATCCTCAATCTTCTCTCATTATTTCTCTTCTTTGGCTGCGGCCTGATTCTTGGAATAATTCTCAGTTTTTCGCTTAAAGACTTTTCTTTCAATCTTCACATCACACAATTCTCTCAGCTTTCTTCTTCATCTTCGCCGTCTTTAGAATCAGAAAGTGTTTCCAGTAGTGGTGATGGTGGTTTCAGCCGCGTGGGGCTGAGAGAGTACTTAAAGCCTCCGAATGTAACGCATGACATGGAAGATCAGGAGCTTTTATGGAGAGCTTCAATGAGTCCTAAGATTCAAGAGTATCCATTTGAGAGAGTTCCAAAGGTTGCATTTTTGTTCTTGGCGAGAGGTCCTGTGTTATTGGCTCCATTGTGGGAGAAATTCTTCAAAGGATATGAAGAATTATACTCAATTTATGTGCATTCAAGTCCATCTTTCAATGAATCAGAAGGAGAGCCTCCAGGTTCTGTGTTTCACGGCAGAAGAATTCCCAGCAAGGTCAGTTTATTAATTTGATTCATTCTTGATTAATTTTCTGTAGCAATTTTGCAATAGATGTGGACAAAATGAAATTATTGGTAATAGTATTTAAAGGCGTGTCAAATCTTTTGAAAGTCAAAAAAAGTATTTCAATATCACACGCTTTTGCGATGTTATTTAGCCTTCTAATTGGTACTTTAAAAGATTATTACAAAAAGAAAGAGGCTTAAATTTCATAAAAAGATGTGGAACCCATGTGATGTGTAGTTGTGTACTTCCAATTTCCTGATTGTAATTGCTCAAACAAACCCATGTGACACTTCTTCTGGCATTTCTTCAATCAAAATTCTAGCATTTAACCGCCACTAGGTGGATTAACGATCAACTAAGATTCTTGAGTATATTATTCAAGAAATTCTGAGTTCGATTCTCCTACGTTACTATTTAGGGGTGACCACTAAGAGGATTTATCCAATTGTTAACTTCAAGCTCTGGAGAATTAATTGAGGTGCGTGCAAGCTGATACAGACACTCCTAGTCACTGAAAAAAAAAAAAAAAATTCTAGCATTTCAAACTTGGAAATGGGTAAGCTCTATATGAGGCCTCAAAGCTTGTTTGCAAATTCCATGTTAAAGGAACTTTCTTTAATTATCATTGTTGTGGGTCACTATGCTTTAATTTGCCATTAACTTTCATTCAATCTCCTCAAATGTCGGTTGAAGCATAACAACCAAAAAGAGTGTCGGTTGATTTACATATTAGATTTCACATTTGCTAACCATTATGACTTCTAACCCACATCACTTTAAGTTAATGTAGAACGTTGGATGGGGAGATGTGAACATGGTTGAAGCTGAGCGTCGCCTGCTAGCCAATGCACTTTTGGATTTCTCAAACGAACGTTTTGTTCTCCTCTCAGAATCCTGCATTCCTCTATTCAACTTCACCACCATTTACTCTTACCTCATGAACTCAACTCAAAACTTTGTGGAGCTCTATGACTTAGAAGGTCCAGTTGGCCGAGGCCGATACAGTCCGGAAATGGGTCCAAAGATCTCCATTGATCAATGGAGAAAAGGCTCACAGTGGTTCCAAATTGACAGGGATCTTGCCATTGAAATAGTCTCGGACAAAACATATTTCCCACTGTTTCAGAATTACTGCAAGGGCAACTGCTATGCGGATGAGCATTACTTGCCAACTTTTGTGTACATGAAATTTGCGGAGAAGAATGCAAACAGAACTTTAACTTGGGTTGATTGGTCGTATGGCGGCCCTCATCCCAGGAGATTTATAAGATCAGGAGTCACAGTTGAGTTTCTGAAGAAATTGAGAAGTGGATACTCTTGTGAATACAATGGAAATTCCACCAATATTTGTTACTTGTTTGCAAGGAAGTTCTTGCCTAACACTTTGGACAGACTGTTGAGATCTGCACCAACAGTTCTGCACATCAGCTAGCATAAAGAGACAAATTATTGTAATCATCATTCTTTATTTTACTTGTAAGAAATTTTTCGTACAAAATTTAAACAATGTTGTTAATTGAGTCAAGTGCGGAGTCAGAAATATTTTATATCGATATAAGTTACATCGATTGTATGATTTTTTTTTTTTTTAATATAGATATCATTTTTTTTTTCCTTTTTGATAAATGTACGTTTTACATATTTGTTGTTTCTTGATAGAATCAAGATTTTTCTTTGGTAATGGTTTGGGACCATGGCTATGAGGAGGAGGTTTAGGACCATGGCTGCCACTGTGTTGTTTAACGTATATCAGTACAGCAACCCCACCATACAGGAAGATAAGAATTGTTTGGTAAGAATTTGTTTAATTTAATGCAATGCAGTGTACGAAATTTACCCCACAAGGCCACAACCTGCAAATCAGAATGTAGGTTTCAATCATTTCAGGATTTGCAAATTCAAGTTGGTAAGAATTCAACATCAGAACAAGATGAAACCTGAGGTTCATTATCGTGCCAGTGTGTCAGCCCTGAGGTTTGGAAATGCTTCCCTTAATCTTGGGAAACTAATGTTACCACCTTTGAATGGCGTTTCTAACAATTTTAATGTATCGGCTCAAGGGATGGAAATTTGGAATAAACCGCGGACAATTTTGTCAAACAGCTAGTAGTTTTGGAATATCGAGTAGAAGTTTTAAACAAAAAAGTAATATTATATATACAAAAAATTTTATACAAAGTGACGTGACAGAAAATAAATGGATAAGTTTGACTTTTTGTATAAATTTCTCCATTTATTTTTGGTCTCATCATTTTATATAGAAATTTTTGTAAGATTTCTTTGTACGTCTAGTATTATTGATTTCGTTAATACCCAAAACACACTTCACTTTCTCAGTTAATGTTCAACGAGTTATCGTCGTTGGAATTAGTCAGAATTTAGCTAAGAACAGAAAGCCTTAGCTTTGTGGTGGTTGATAATTAACGAGAAATTAGGTGTCACGGTGAAATGAGTTCTGTAGAGAAGACTAGAAATTCAAATAGTGATGACAGATAACGAAATGCTGACTTTGGGTGCAAAAGTGGTATTTTGAAAATTTTTGGGTTGGGAAATGCCTTACCTTGGGTGTAAAAAGGTGGGTTACTATTATTAAAATATTTATCATATTTAATAACCGAAACTCTATTTGGGGCTGTCAGAGGGAAACGTTCCAAAAACTTGATACACGTTAAGCCCAAAAAACAAGAATTTAAGTCAAACCCAGAAGAAGCCATTGTGGGCTATTACACAGCTCAACCCTTTGAACCTTCAGTTGAATGGGCCAAACATGATTGAGGCTAAATGGGGTTTCAGGATTTCGACCTGGAGACTCACATGGAGTTTAACCAGAGTCAGAATTTAATACTTCTGGCCTTCGGCCAACCAATATATTTTGGGCAGAAACCTGTCACATATGAACAAGAAACTGACCTGTTCCGGCTGTCCTCAATGTACAGGATCGGATACCGATTCTACTCAGAACTTTAGCAATAAAGTTAGATCTAAAATGCAGTGGTTAATCATATATTAATGTTCTAAGCATTGACACTCACAAATTGAATTGGTTAAATCCAAACAAAACAGACAAAAAAATGGATTAATTTAGTTTGAGTAAACATTCTATAATCATATAAAATTAGTTTGGTCTCCACGAGATTAGCTGACACATCAAGTTATCTAATCACCATGTTGTTTATGCACATGCTCACTCCAATTATCTCAACTAAAAATCTTATAGTATATCCAAATCTCAATTCTCGTTTGATAGAAGCCGAATTTGTCTTATATGATTATATCGTTATGCCGATGAACAGTTATGGTGTATATATGAGATTTGAATCGCTCCACCTTGAGTTAGCTCCTTAACCGCAAATAAGAAATGAAGAGTGGTCTGCTCAGAAACTCACAAAATTCTCCAAAAATCATCTCCAATTCCTCTGTAAAAACTGTTTCCCATTGCTAATAAATTACTTAAACTAAGCATCCGTGGAAGATAAATAATCCTAATATGCATTTAAATAAAGCAAAACAAAAACCCGATTAATTACAATAATTAACCAACTGAACTCACTCACTGACTCACTCCCCCCACCGTGTCCTCAGACAAACAAGGTGAGTCAGAAACAGAGTCAAAGTTCTCATGACACGGCGACACCTCCACCCCACGTATCTCCTCTATCATTTTCACCACTTGACCTATGCTCGGCCGTTGATCAGGCGACGCCGCTGTACAAGACATTGCAACTTGCAGCAACCCCACCATCTCCTCCTCTATGTCCTTGTACCTCATCAGCTCCAGATCAAAAACCTCCGCCGTCCACTCCTCCCTCACCACCGACTGCACCCACCGTGGCAAGTCCACCACCCCGCCGTACCCTACACCGGTGCCACTGGAGCCATCAATCACGGATGGGCACTTGCCAGTCAATATCTCCAACAGAAGTACCCCGAACGAGTAGACATCAGATTTCTGGGACTGTTTCCGACCGTCAGATGATGAGAGTTCGGGCGCACGGTAGCCGTTGGATCTTTGGACAGTGTTCGGAGGAGCAAAGACTGAGAGACCAAAGTCGGAGACACGTGCGTTGCCTGTCCTGTCCAGGAGGATGTTCGTAGACTTGATGTTACCGTGGGTGAGTTTGAGTGATTTGCATGTGTTGTGAATGAATGCCAGGCCACGCGCCGCCCCCGCTGCGATCTTCAGTCTGGTGGTCCAGTCTAGCGGCGTGCGCCCCGGTCCTCGATTCCCTGTCGGAAAGTAATTCACCACAAAATTACTTTATTACCCCTTCGAATTAATTTACGATTGGTGTACTCATGTCCCAATCAAGACAACAACACTAGATTGGTCAATCAAAGACAAGGGGATGATAATTATTTTATTGTTAGATGGTGGGGTCTAACATAATAAAATAATAAGACAAATATGACGTAGTCCCCCTAATATTTGAAAATACATAATCTCATCCCAGAAAAAGAAAATCCAAAACCAGAACTCAGGAAAAGAACAAAAAGGAAAAGCTGATAAAGAGAAAAGAAGACCATTATCTGCAGAAGAGAACAGAGCTGCGACTGCAACAACACTAATCCCTGTTCCCGAATTGTAATTAAACTGGTGTCTGGCTTTGTTCTGTCACTGTGTATAAGTGTAGCCCTTTACAGTAAATTGATTGATGGATACCCATAAACCGAGGATTGGTGGAGCCAACCCAAGTTACCAAACAAAACAAAACTCAGGTGAGGTGTGGTGTAGTGACCAGCTAATAAAAGCAGAACACTGGTTTATTTCATGCACAACGTTTTGTAAAATAAAAAATATCGAACACATTTTTCATCACGAAAATCAAAACAAGCAAAACAACGTGACCACCTGAGCCCCGCCCGGCGGCCACCGCACCGTCGCATCTCCGCGAAAGAACAACAAAGTCATAGTAATGGAAAAAAGAATAGTAAAATTGATTGTAAATGAACTTATAACGTACCATGAAGGAGCCAAAACAAGCTACCGTTGGGCATGAAATCAGAAACGAGCAATTTCTCTTCTCTTGCGAAATAATAAGCCTTTAAACCAACCAAATTGGGATGCCTTAATCTCCCGAGAACCTCCATGTGTTGTTCAAACTCTCTCTTCCCACCAACACTCGCATCTTTCAACCTCTTCACAGCGACCACACTCCCGTCGTCGAGCACCGCCTTGTACGCCGTCCCAAACCCGCCTTTCCCTAGCATTTCTGCCGAGGCTCTAAGCAAGTCTTCGAGCTCAAACCTCTTCACTCCTTCGAAAAACACCATGCTCCCACGCTCGTACGCGGACTGGGCCGGGTACGGGCTCGAAGAGTAAACGATTTTCTCACTCTCCATAAGCTTTGACCTCTTTCTGTCACGCACGTAATTTCTCCAGAAGTAACAATAAAGTAAGAGAGAAATGATGGCCAGAACTAAGAAGTCCCCGACAATTATAGCTATTACGGCGATTGAGCTTATTTTGGCACGTGTTTTGTGAGGGTTTTGTGGCGTGTTTGGGTTTGGGTTTGGGTTTGTGTTCGTGGGGATTGAGCTTGGTGACGAGGTTACTACACTTGATGGGTTGTTTCCTGGGTTGAGTGGCGAAGCTATGGCGCCATCGGATCCGGGTTTTGTCGGGTCAGATACTACTGTTTTGCATGCTTGCAATGGGGATCCACAGAGAGCTGCGTTTTGAGTGAATGAAGACAAAGGGAAACTCGATAGAGAGGCGGGAATTTTACCCGAGAGATTGTTACCGGAAACGTTTAAGTCTTGCAGATTCTGGAGATTCAAGCCCGTGATTTGACCCGAAAACCCGTTTTCTTCAAGTCGAAGAGTCAAAAGATGGGTCAAACGGTTGACCGTCGACGGAATCTGCCCAGTGAAGTTATTATACGACAGATCGAGACGGTAGAGTCTAAACAGCGACTGAACTGATGCCGGAAACTCGCCGGAAAAGTCATTGTGAGAGAGAAACAGAAGCTTCAACGCTGTGAAGTTAGACAAGTCTGGGACTGACCCTGTGAAGCGGTTGTTTTTAAGGCTCAAGACACGGAGCTTAGTCAAAGAGGTGAGTGACTCAAACGAGCCGCTGAGTTCGAGGTTTTCCAGAACGAGTCGAGAGACTCTGTTCTGAAGACAAGAGACTCCAGTCCAACCGCCACACGGCTCCGACGTCCCGTTCCAAGTGGTGAGCTGGCCGGCTTTGTCCGAAGAAGCTTTGAAGTCTAGAAGTGGTTTCAAATCTGGGTTCGTTACGGCTTCGAGGAGGAAGAAATGGAGAGCTAAGAAAGAGAGAGTGAAACGCAGCGTCTTGGGGACCAACATTGTTGCAGACAGAGAGAGAAATGAAGAGTGCCTATGTGACTATGTGAGTGAGAGTGAGGAAGTGTGATAGTAGAGGAGAAAAGTGAGGGAGAGGTTATAAATGTAATTATGAGAAGATGGAGGCGTTCTGCAGTAATAAATGAGAGGTTATGGGAGTGGTGAAAAGACTGTAACGTGTACTTTATGTACAGCCGTAATTTTGTTAATTACTGCTGTCATAAAAAGTTACTAATCTTGACTTGTTTGATTGAATATTTGATTATTGTTGACAAATGGACAATTAAATACTCTATTCGGAAATTTAGAGCATACATAAATGTGTATTTGATATTGTAGAAACTATTTTACCCAGTTTTTTTTAACCTAATATATTTAAAAGCTTATTTAGTTGGATTTATTTACTAACTAAATAAACTAATTTTAAATTATAATGATATATGAAAAGTTTTAAGTTATTGGTTACATTTGAAATGTATGTATAAGATCCATCTGATATTTTTTTTTTATAACCAAGATATTTAGGTCAGTGTTTACATATCTCAACTAATCATTGGGATCTACTAAACACTCTACAAACTAAATGAGTAAGGTAAGTTATAAATATGATAGATGATCACTTAATGAGACTCAAACACAAAAATTATAGGTAATCTATCCAGATAACTAAAATCTTATCATCGAACCACAAAATTTAAGAGAATTTATTTTATGTATATATAAAAGAAACTCAAAATTTTATATTCATTTTATATTTCTTATATATTACAAGCTTTCGAATTTAATATAATATTTTACAAATTTAGTTAACTTCTCTACCTTATTGGATGGTAAGCAATGTTCCGAAAATCGGATCGGACTAAAACCCGTTCAAGGGTCTTGGATCGATCAGTTGGACCGTATTATGTATAATTTTTTTAGTCCGTAAATGTTTGAAATTCATCAAAACACCCTTATAATATTTTCTTAGGGTTTGAAATCTATCCAAAATACCCCTGTCGCGCGAAGAGACTGGTGATGGTGGCAACAGTGACGATCGACGACCAATCGAAGTTTGAATCATGGGGCTTTTGATGTATAGGTGCCGGCTAATCTGATGGTGGTGTTAGGGAGTTCCATCGGTGCCGGAACTCACCGGAATCAAGAAAGAAGTCTAACGGTCACGTGAATTTTAAGTGGATGCCAAGTGATGAAGGCTGGACGACGGCCACTGAAAATGGCTGGGTTTGTCGTGAAGACGTCTTCAAGTCTAATGGTGGTGTTCTCCCTCGAACGATGTCGGAATCCGACGGGATTAAGTTGTGATTGGACCACGATTTAGTACTATTCCGGTGGTCCAATCGTGGCTCAATCCAATTTGATTGAAAATAACGGTTTTCAAAGGATATCTGACCGGATATGCCATCAGCTACCGGTTGAATCGATCTGATCGGATGGTCTCGTCCGATTTTTAAAACATTGATGGTAAGTTGTGAAAGAGGTAATTATGAGTTTACCCAAAAAAAAAAAAAAAAAAAAATTAATTAACCTAAACTTGGAAGTTTGATTGAGAAGTGAAGCAAAGAAGAAACATTAAATGGATGAATTAAATTGTTGAAAAAAAAATTTTAAAAAAATTGCTATAATTATACAACACACTCACAGGACATGCAACAAACGAGGTAGTGAAACGTGGCAAGCAGATGGGAAAGATCTTTTTGTGATGAAGACATCCTTTGGAGGAGTAAATCATAATGAAGCCAAAGAAAGAAAGGCCCTGATTTTGATTTTGTCTTTAAATCGGACTTTCGTACTTTCACACGCGCGCGTGCACCACTAAATATATTAATTAATTAAATTTAATTTAAGAGAGAATTAATTATTGAAAAGTGATGAAAGAGCGGGATTGTCTGGTGATTTGGTCGTAAAAAAAGTGATTATTTATACGGCTGGCTGGATTAATTAATTAAAGCGTTGTTCTTTGTTAATTTCTCGAAGTTGTTGTTAGTGATAGATCAACTTTTGCTTTTGGCTTTTGGCTTTTGCTTTTTTTTTTCCCCCCTTTTGAATGGAAACCAATCACTTATATGCTTTTATACTATTTTGTATACTATTTTGAATGGAAACCAATCAATTATTTGACACATACGTGAGTATGTATGTATTAAATCGTTTTAAACGCGCGAGTTTGTATATATCTTTCTTTTCTATAATGTTAGAAGTACGTAATTAACAACGTTAGAATCATGTTGAATGTGTACGTAATTCGTATGGATCAATAATAGAACTATATGATGATGAATTAATGTGCAGGAATTAACACAAAACATAAAGAACCAAAAAACCTTTTTTCAAGTGGTTCGGCCACTTATAACGTAAGTTCTACTCTACTGTTATGCTATTGAATATATAAAGTTTTTAATTGGTTTTTTACCATTTTTTCCTCTCTCTCTTTGAAAAGAGATTACAATTGAGTTTATATAATACCAATTGTACGATTGAGTTTATATAACACCAATTGTACGATTGAGTTAAAGATAAATTCAAATTCGAGAGTAGCATTATCTTCGGCTTTGATCCATGTCGCGGAGATATGTACATGTAAAAAAGGGGACTTATCTACTTTGGATTTCTTGCACAACCGGATTTCTTATACAACACCTTGTAATAGACTCGAACTCCGAAGACAAAAGGGTGAACGGATTAGTTTATCACTTTGACTTGTCTTATTCCTTTGAGGATAGACATCAAGGCTAGAAGAGTCTGAACAAAACAAAACCACTCAGCAAGGCAAAATTTGGAAACGGTCACATTGTTTTTGTGTTTGTATAATTTTCATTTTATTTAATAAATTTTTCAGGATGATTTGTGATTATGAAAAGGCCAAAAAAGATTTTTCCATATGGTAAAACACTCAAATTGGCTTTTGACTACAGATTTTTAGGGTTCTATTGGTAAATTTATTTATTTTTCTTGGGAAATTCGATGTAAAGTAGGATTAATTAAATAGAAAAATGCATCGAAATTAACGTGGAGGTAATAATGAAAGACAAAGAAGATTCCTAAACGGGTTTAATGAGCAAGAAATAATGAGAGGCGTGACTCGGAGCCTTCCCAAATTAATTAATAATTAAAGCCCCAAAAGTACTCAAATTTGGCTCCCAACGACCCACCAAAAGCTTCATGTTTGTGTTAACATTTAGGGCAAGGAAGAGCGTCTAACCATTCGACCAACATCACTATATTTAATACACTTTATTTATTAAGAGAATATCTTATCTAAAACCAATCAAGTAAATATTCTACTTTTAAACTTAATACAAATCTCATTCACCTTCCTGATCTATCCTTTTGACTTTACCTAAATGTTTTTCGTATATACTGAAAAAATAATGTTTAGGTTTTCTCTTAGAATTTTTTTGGAGATGTAAATACTAAATACCCTTAGTCAGGTTGGGTTTGGCCGAGATTGGCATAGGGTGTCTTTTAAAATGCAAACTTGGGCACGGAAAAAAAAAAGCCTAGGTCCAAGCCCAAGTTCCGTTGAAATAGAGAATTTTTAAAATTTTACTGATCTTTGTATGCTCAATGTAATTTTATAAGAGTTAAAGTAATTTTGAAAGAATTTTTCTAAACTTTTACTTCATAGAAGGCGTACGAGACAGGGTTGCAATCGAGCCAAGTCAAGTATTGAAAAGCTTAAGCTTGATAGATATATGATAAGCTCGAGCTTGATTCGATTAAATATAATATTACTTAATTATTTTAATTAATATTATAAAATATTAATATAAAAATTAAAATATTATATAATATATCGAGCTCGAGTCAAGCCTGAACAGCTCACGAACGGCTTGGCTCGTTTGCAGGCCTAAATTATGGAGGAGTTTTCGGAGTATCTCAAGATTTTTAAGGGCTTCTCAGTAATTTTCTTGGGGGGTTAGTTGAAATGTTTCCACAAGGACGGGTTGACGAAATCCTAATCATATGGGTTTGCTTACTAATCCTAATTTAAATTAAACACCATGAGAAACAGAACGCGCGATAGAGAGTTGTCGATGGAGAAGCTGAAGGAGATCAACAAAGAGAGAGCGAAATTTGCTGTGAGTTTGACGAGGAAGGAGATTGAAGAAGATTTAATGGAGTCGGTGGGACACAGAACTCCGAGGAAGCCCAAGAAGCGGCCAAGAAAGCTTCAGAGCCAAATAAATGTGAGTTTTATGAATCTTTGGTTTTGGTTTTTTGATTGAAAAGGTGAAGTTTTCGTTGTTTTGATGATTAAAAAACTTGACTATAATTGTGTTTACATGAATTTTGCTATGTTACCTGAAATTTAAAGAGTAATAGGATGAACACAGAGAGGAATTTTACTTTGTTGCCTCTTAATAAAAATAATATTCGTTCTTATAATCAATTTTTTTTTTTTGTTTTTAGGTCATGGATCAGACAGAGTTATCGATAGAGAGGGTTCATGAGGAAGCAATTGGGTTTTGTGAGAAAGTGAGGAGTAAGTTGAGTAATTCCGATTATCGTATGTGCTTTCTAAAACTTTTGCATGATTACAGTAATCGAAAGATTGACATTCGTCAAATGGGGAGTCTAGTTGTTCACACGATCTCTCAATATCCTGATCTTATCCATATGTTTCTTGATCTCTTGGAGAATTGTGATAATCTCGGTGGTTGTTATGCTTACCAAGAAACTGAAAAAACAGTAATGGAGACTCAGAAAGAAGATAAAATAAAGAAAAGAAAAATGATGGACAAGCCCATTCAAGAGATAGACTTATCTTATGGACAACTTGTTACTCCTAGTTATCGGTTTTTACCAGAAGAGAAAAGATCAGAGAAGGCAGATCAAGTGTTGAACAATCAAATGGTATGTGTGCGTCCAGGAAATGAGTCATTCAGACATGGACATAAGAACAAGTACCAACGAGTCCTTTTTGAATGCGAAGATGATCAATATGAAGTTGACATGCTGTTGAACTCTTTACAATCAACAAAAGAGAATATAGAGAAGCTGTTGAACAATGTGAAAGAAGATAAATTAAACTTGGAGAGTTCTTTTAAGATTTTAGATCATTTCAGTATTCTGAATGTAAGGTGTATTGAGAGGGTGTACAATAAACAAGGCCAGAGTGATCAGATTTTAGAGAAATTGCAGAAGGAACCACTGGTTGCATTACCAATTATATTAAACCGTTTAGTGCAAAAGGTAAATGAGGTTTTTGGATTGAAATCAAAAAGGAAGAAGATATGGGCTCAAGTGTATGCTGAAAACTATCACAAATCACTTGACATCACTGAACACTTGTAAGATCTCAATTTGGTTTTGGTATTGTTGATGGGGTCCTGGTGTTAAATGCTTGATAAAGAGGAGATTGGAGGAGGCAAACTTGAAGAAGTGCTTTAAAAGGATAGAAGAAAACTGCCACCAAAACTGTAGCAGAGTTCTTCACAAATGTACCGTTTTCTTCAAATTATTTCTTCACTGGAGAAACTTTGTATCACCTTTTATTGGTTGATATAGTGAAAACAATTGGACGGTCCTTTCCGTGGATGTAGGCTTTAAAGCCGAACCACGTTAAAAATCTGGTGTGCATTTCTTTTATTTGCATTCTTTTGTCTATCTATATTGTTAGTTGGTTTAATTTCCAATGCTTGGTGTTCTGTCGCCTTGCTGGTACTGTAAGGAAGTTGAGATTCTTTTGGCAATGCCAAGGTGATGAGTGGTGAGCCTCCAGTGAGGGCTGAACAGGCAAAGATAATAGCATATGAAGGGGCAGATGAGCATGAAGAGAACTTATCTATTAAGAGGGAATTATCTGACTTTAATCTCCAAGAGAACTTATCATCTTTCTTCAAAAGAGATGATGTGAGGGTGAAAGCTCTTGAAATGCAAACCCCACTTCCAGTTGATAATAATGCAAATTAGTGATGAGGGTATTGTCTTCCCCCCCTCTTCTTATGTTGGTAAGTTACCAGTAAGAAACATTGCCCACTCGACTCAGTCGTACAGATATCAATCTTTCGGAGGAGGTTTAGCATGCCAACAGTGCCATCCAGTCTCTGAATTTTTCTTCAACCTGTGGTTCAAATTACGGGTATAGGCTTGAAAGTAATTCCCACAATCTCACGTTTCTCTGGTCTTCGGTCTGCAACTTTTCAAAGAATTTATGGTCCATATAACTGCAGGGGTTTTACAAGTCAGAAACCAGGGGGTTTGAGAGAAGAAGAGATTGGTTGTTATATAAGATTTGGTGGACAATGTAATCGGTTTTGCATAAGTTGAGAAGTGAATGTCCTTGGCCATTGCATCAGAGTTGGAATCCAACACTGCCACAGGTGGATTCAGGCCTGGATATAAAATGGATAGTTTTTAGTTATGTTTCGGCCAGTAATGCAGGTTTTGGGCTCACAGGTTTTGTGGTTAGGCGTATTTCAAGTTCAAAGAATGGGGGACTCAATTAATCATCCGCAATTACCAATCTGAATCTTATTATTTGATCGTTTTCTTAAATCTCAAATGCATTAATTTTTTCACTGAACTTTCTCAGACTATCACAAGGCAACCTGAAACATCTACATAGTTGGGTGCCATTAATTAGTTAAGTTTCTGTGGCCTTGCTCATCAAACTATCCGGTGTTGAGATTCCTGAACAAGATAAAACTGATCAGATCTTGGAGGAAGGGACCATGGAGATGTAGTTTCATATTCAATTCAGCCATCAGTGTGAACTGCTTACAGAGGATATAGAAGCTACAGTATTGTGTCTCAAATTGGCATCACAATTCACAAAGAATTTTGATGTTAGATGAGATGGAGGCGGGTGCAGTTGCAAGCGATGAAATTTGGCTTGCATGAAGAAGTGGATGGGCTCGGTCCAAGAAGGGGAGGAGCTTGAAATGATGTATATATAAATATTAATCAATATATCGAAAAGTTAATAATTTTTTTTTTATCTGTTAAGGCCTTTGCCTACCATTTGCTGCATTTAAAACAGATTTGACTCCAAACAAAGCATGGTGATGGTGGTTTAGTTTGAGAAATAGACAAAATTTGAAAAGTTACAGTTGGAAATTAGAATCATATGGAGAATTTGAGATCACCGATTTGTCAAGTTCTTGTCAATATTGTTTTGACTCCCTACCATCATTGTTTGAGTATATCAAATATAAGGTGCATCCATAAACTATAGGACCGGGCCAATCCAACCATCAGGATTTCTTTAATTTCCGTAGCCAAACCAGAGACTTTTACAAATAAACGTGGCCCCATTACTTTATTACTTTATTTATTTTTTGGGTACTACTATTACTTGAATTTTAAATATAGGGTAAACAGCCTTTTTCCATTTAAATAATGNTATATTTATTTAATTAGGTTATTCTAAAAATTTAACTTTTTCTATTTTAAATTTTTTTATATGTTAAATAATAGAAACCCTCCATTATTCACATTTAACAAATATTTCATTGTAGTCCAGGTTCCAAAACAGGTTCCAAATAGGTTCCAAAACAGGTTCCAAACAGGTTCAAAACAGGTTCCAAAAATCGATTCCAAACCAGGTACCCCCTATAGGTTCCAAACAGGGTACCCTTTTTATAGGTTTCGGTTCCAGTTCCTCCACACACAAGAACCGGAACCAGAACTGGAACCGCACAGTATCAGTTCCAAAGAATTGGAACCGGAACCTACCCGCACAGTACCGGTTCCGGGTAGGTTCCGGTTCTGGTTCTACCTGCAGGTTCCGATTCTACCTGCAGGTTCCGGTTCTACCCGCTACCCATGCTCACCCCTATAAACAAGTCAGAAATGCGCTTTTAACTATTTGTTAAATGAAGGAAAGATCATTCTCTAAGCTTTGACTTTATGTTAATAATGTGAACTCGAGCGAGAGCTGAGATGTCATTCTCTTCGAAAATACCTCGAAAAGCTCTAGTTAATATTTAGCCTCCCTCCTAGTGGGAGATTCAAAGTTTTTGTTTGGGGATACAGAATAAAACATGCCTAAGTTTGTATAGTAAATTGGAAACTAAGTAACTTCATTCATAATTTGGAGATTTTGCAGATGGAATTTAGAATTGAAAAACATAACATGAAGGGTTGTTTGGTTGGGGGTTACGTGGGATTACTAGGGTTAAGTCATCTTATATTATTTAATTATCATGTTTGATTGTCAAGTAATATAACATACTGATAATCTTCAAATACCAATAGTGGTTACTATTGGTAATATTGGAGGTAATTTGATCACCTCAATTTTCTTAGGTATTCTAAGATTACCAGGGTTATCTTTTATTGTTACAATTCTATCCCTTATTAATAAAATTTTAGGACAATGATGCCTTTATTTTTATATTTATTTCCATGAATATGATTTTTACTATTTCACCCCAATTAATTAACTTTTTGGACAAAATTACCCTTGAATTCAAAACAAATTGCAACCCACCCAAGGCACCACCCCCACCCACTTGCCGCCATCTGCCGCCGGCAACAATCGCCACGGCCGCCGACAACAATTGCCACGGCCACTGCCAGAATGGTGCATGAAAGGCTGGAAATTGCCATCGTGAGCAGATATGGCCATTTTCGGCTAGATATCTAGCCGGAAATGGCCAGATCGTGCCAGATCTGGCTGTCAAAGGCCAGATTCGTTGATCTGGCCATCAACGGCTAGATTGATAGCCATTAACGGCCACTTCTGTGGCCGTCAACGGCTAGATCTCTGGCAAAAAATGGCCATATGGCGCACGGAGGCTATTTCCTACCTTTCGTACGCCATTATGTTGCTGGTTGTCGACGGCCTGCAGTGGTTGCCAACGGTCGGCAGTGGTTGGGTTGGTGGGGGTACTTCGTTGATTTTCCAAACTTTTATTATGGGGTTGTTTTTGCTAAGTTTTTAAATGCAGGGGGTTACAATAATCCAAATAATAATCAATATTAAAAAATAATATAATAATAACATTTAATTAGAGGACAAGTCAGTAATTTAAATAACATACCTACCAATTTATTCCTCCCAACCAAACATATTAATATAACATATCCACCAATTAACCAAACACATTTTCCTAAAGATTCTCAGTAATCTTCAAGGTAATCTAACTTTCCAGTAATCCTAACTTTCCAGTAATCTAACATTCCCTAAATTAAACGCCCCTGAAAGGTTAGTGAGATATATAGGTTTATGAGCTTAATTTGGTTAATCTTGTCAACTCAAATAAAATTAATGTATTCTCATAGAAATGGGGATAGTAAATTAATTAAATCATTCCCTTAATCAATTAAATAATAAATTTGGAACCGAAAATGACACTTTGAGTACCTGTCGGTTCGGGTTCTACCCTACAAATTTGCACACCCCTATCAAATAGCATAACATAGCACAATGGGTAATTTCCGTTATTTTATATTAACATAAATGTTAAAAAATTATAATATAATCAAAGGGTCTAATTATTCTTTAATTGTTCTGACAATTTTATAACAAATAGCTGTCTGTCAAAACAATAGAGCTACCTGCACTAATGAGAGTGTACAAATTCAGTACTAATAGCCACGCCAGTTCCTTCCAAAGCCTTAAAAAAAAAAAAAAAAAAAAAACAATTTCAAAATGAATAAACTCTTTCAAACTAAAAACAGAAACCCGCCACTTGAAACTAAAAACAGAGACCCGCCACTGACCAGTAGTGTATCCTCTACCACCAGCACCGTGGCCTGCCGTCTTCCACCACTAGCGTCGGCCACCGTCGTCCACCACCAGCACCGACCATCATCTTCCGCTAGCACCCATCATTTTCATCTATTGGATTTATAAAAAAAATTGCTCTCAAAATAGAAACCCATAAGATTGAACCATCTTTTGCTTCATGGTATTATTTATATAGCTTTAAAACATCATCTAAGAACAATATAGGAGATTGAGAGTCATGATAAAATGCTATAAATAAAATGCTGTACTTGTTAACATCCGTTGCTTATGTTGTGGTTTGACAATTGTTGGACTATTTCATTGCATAATAGTTTATTTGTCAATTTATTTCTTTTTATTGCAGGTTGTGCTTTTTTGAACTTGGTCTTGGTGTTGTATCAAAGTTCCAAAGATGGAAGAGTGTAGTGAAAAAAATCCAGACAACTCTTCTTCTCATTTCAATGTTGTGGAGGTAATATTTTGTTGGTAATCTCTTTTTATTCATTAATATGATTTTAAATTTTTTATGGTATTGTTCCTATCCTTTTTGTTGTATTATTATATTTTAATTATGACTATTATAATATCAATAAATTAGGATAATCATTTTGAAGAAATGGAAGATACAAGAAGTGCAGAGGAGGAATGGGAGCCTAAGCCTGGAATGATTTTTGATTCGCTTGATAATCTTGTCCAACACTACAAAAGCTATGGGAATAAAATGGGTTTCGAAGTTATTATACGATCTTCAAAGAAAGGATATGATGGAGAGGTGACAAACGCGACACTAGCTTGTTCTTGTATTGGGAAGTCACGCAGTAACCCCGTAAATGCTTTTAAAATGCATCCAGTAACAAAAACTGATTGTAAGGCTCGAATTGGTGCAGCTGTACGTTCTGATGGCAAATGGAAAATATGTTCAGTTGTGTTTGATCATAACCATGAACTCAGTAGTCCTACCAAAAGTAGATATTTCAGAAGCAATCGAATTATACAACCATATGTAAAAAGAAAGCTTGAAGTGAATGATAGGGCTGGGATTAGGCCAAATAAAAATTTCAATTCCATGTTAGTTGAAGCAGGCGGTGCTGAGAATTTGCCTTTCCTACAGAAAGATTGTAGGAACTACATTGAAAAAGTTAGGAGGTTACGACTTGGTGTTGGGGATGCTTCTGCAATCCAAAAATATTTTTTGAAAATGCAAAATGAGAATTCTAATTTCTTCTACATAATGGATTTAGATGAAGAAGGTCGATTAAAGAATGTTTTATGGGTGGATGCAAGAAGTAGGGCTGCATTTAAAGAGTTCGGTGATGTTGTGACATTCGACACTACATATTTGACCAACAAGTATGATATGCCGTTTGGTGCTTTTGTTGGTGTTGATCATCATGGTCATTCGATACTGTTAGGTTGTGGGTTAATCTCCAACGAGGACACAAAGACATTTGTATGGCTTTTTCAATCTTGGCTTGCATGTATGTTGAATTGCGCTCCTAAAGCAATAATCACTGATCAAGATAAGGCAATGCAAAATGCAATTGAGATTGTGTTCCCTGGTACACGACATAGATGGTGTTTGTGGCATATAATGAAGAAATTGCCTGAAAAACTTAGAGGTTATAGTCAATATGAACAGATTAAGTTTTCTTTGCAAAATGCCGTGTATGATTCATTGACATGTGAGGAGTTTGAAGAACGTTGGAATAGGTACATTGATAAATACAACCTTCACGACAATGATTGGTTGCTTGGTGTACAATGAAAGACGATGTTGGGTGTCAACTTTTGTAAAAGGTACTTTTTGGGCAGGTATGTCGACTACTCGACGCAGTGAAAGTATGCATGCATTCTTTGATGGATGTTAATTCAAAAACCACTTTAAAATAGTTTGTGGAACAATATGAGAATGCATTGCGTGATAAAGTGGAAAAAGAAAAGGAGGCTGATTTTAAATTTTCAAATCATGGATCCCTTGCATAACCACTTATGCTATGGAGAAACAATTCCAAGATGCATATACCACTGCAAAATTCAAAGAGTTTCAAAAGAGCTAGCTGCCAAGGTCTATTGTGATTTATCTCTTTCAAAGAGATTGGTTCATAGGAATCTATAATGGAAGAAGATGTTTTGGTTGTAGAGACTCACCTTCGTGTTCCTTTTGTGGTTGCTTTGATGAAGCAACTTGTGATGTTCGTTGCAATTGTCGATTGTTTGAGTTTAGAGGAATTTTATGTCAACATGCATTGTGGTTATGATTGCAAGCAAATTTCTCATGTACCAGAAAAGTACGTTTTAAGACAGTGGAGGAAAAATATAAACAGACACCATACCAAAGTGAAGATAAGTTATAATAGTTGGAGCACCAATCTTGACAGACAACGATTTGATGAGTTGTCTAATTTATTCAGTGTTGTAGCAGATTTGGCATCAAGCAATGAGGATGATTGTAATATGGTGAAAGAAATAATCAATGATATGAAGAACAAATTGATATCAAATAAAAGTGTCGGGATTGATAAAAGACCAAACATGTCAGGTAATAGTAGAATGATTTACGAAGGTGGTGATGATACTTTGAAAGAAGGGAGTAGTAATATTCTTACTCCATGGGCTGTTCGTAGCAAAGGTCGTCCCCCATTCAAAAGAAAACAATCGAATGTTGAAAAAATTGTTCGTAAAGTAAAAGGGAAGAAATTGCGACAACAAGAAGTTGCTATGAGTTTGAGTCTTGGTCTCACAGTTGGATTTAATCAAGCAACTCAGGTATGTAATTCATTTATGTTTCTTTGTCTAAGTTGATGTTTACATGTGAATTGTAGAAATGTATGTAGCCCAAGATTGTTATTTTAGAATAACATGTGGTTGAGTTCTTGTTGTATGTTGCACAGGGATTAAACGAACTTGAGTTTCAGGAAGTTGGACGCTCATGTCCATCAACTGAAGGGCAGCAGCTCCAGGTGCTTATGATTCTTTAGTTTTCTTATAAAAATCATGTATCAAAATGATTGTGTATGTATTTAACTGCTTGTGTGTGGTTTCATTGTTGCTTGCCATATTTTTGCTCCCTTAATGTGGTAGGTTAAGATTGGTGCCTGCATATGCTAGTGATGTGAATGAGTTGCTCATAGATGGTGCATTGATAAATGATGTATGTCTTGGTTCAGGAACACTAGAATTAACTTTCTAATATTGTATTAAGATGTTTATTAGCTGTATTTTTTTTTTTTTTTTTTTTTTGTAGCAGGTCTCCAACATTCAACATTAATTTCAAGGGAGACTATTGGGTTGGTGCAGGATTTTATGGTGCTACAGCTTCATTCTTGTTCTTTGCAGTATTGGAAATTTACAGATTTTTGGAGTTATTGTAGTTTTTTGTGTGTTGGATTTGCTCTTGAGGTGTTCTGGTGCTACAACTTTGTTTTTGTTCTTTGCAATATTTGGGTATGTTGGTTGTTGTGTGGTGAGTGGCGTTGGTGCATGGCCAAACAAAGGATTCTGGAGAGCTTTGTTTGGAGATGCAACAGCAGAAAACTGCATTTTTGCAGTTCCCAAAAGTAAGTTTGGAGCTGTGCAGTGCAATGTTTTGTTAAGAAGATTGGCTATTTGTGCAGTGTGTTCTGGAGTTGCAACTTCAATGCTACATTTTGCTGGCTATTAGTGCAGTGTTTTGGGGGCATAATCTTTGTATAGATGATCTTGCAATCTTTTTGTGATATGTAAATACTAATCCATATTTGGAAGAAACAACAAAAAATTCAATATATGTATACACACACAGAATTATATTCATAGTAAGTTACCTTTTTTTTTTTTTTTTGGGTAAACCCAATAATTTTATACAAGAATGAAAGAATTACAACCTGGGAAAGGGGACTCCCCTTTAGAACCAAGAACCTTGGCCATTCCCAAAGGGCAAAACTACAAAAGCTGTACAAGCTGGAAGGAAATCTCAAAAACAAAAAACGCACAAACAACATGGACCACACAAGCTGTAACAGACACCCGAAGACTGCATACAGCACCAAAGGCAGAGAACAATTGCAGTAGCTTCAAAAACTGCACACACGCACAAGCTACACCAGTTGCAAAATCTCCCGGAAAGAGCAAACAGAAACTGCAAAAACCGCTGCATCTTCGACCAAGCTATAACACTTCCTCGGCAACAACACAATTACAGCATAATCCTCCAAAATACTGCATTACCTGCCACAAATCCTGTAACCAACAACCAAAAGCTGCACAAACTGTAGAAAACTCCCAACAGCAAACACAAACTGGACAACCTATACAAACTGCAACAACCTTCTACAAATTGCACACACTATATTACCCACCACAAATCCTGTAACCAACAACCAAAAGCCCCACAAACTGCAGAAAACTCCCATCAGCAAACACACATTGGACAGCCTATACAAAGTGCAACAACCTTCTAAAAATTACACACATTGCAAAAAGCAACATCTCTCAAACCTGGACAAACTACTTGAAATGCAGCAATCTCCTAGAACCTGCAAAAATCGCAAACATGCAGTTTAGCTAGAGCTGGAGTTTAGACAACAACCAATCAAACAAGCAAATCATATATTAATATTGGCTTGTAATAACAGAATCAACAAATAAAAATAATCAGCGAGCTGACAAGTCAGAAGCTCATGGAAAATACAACCATAATAGTATTGACTTATCAGTGCAGTATTCCCTTTAATTTAACTAAGGAGTTTTAATGTTTACAGGAATTATTATAAAACTAATCTACAAGATTACAACTTCTTGTCAACAGTCAAACATTTCCACTACATTACCCAAATTTGCAATGGAAACCTAATCTAAAATGGTCAAGGATCTCTCATCTACAAGAATTCTCTCTGTACATTAAAAACTCAGATACTTCACAGATTTACAGACAGAAAGCTTCATAACTTTGGTCCCATTGAGGAACCTTCCAGACAAGAATGTCACCATAGGCATCACCCTGTCTCACATCCACAAACCTTTTACTTTTCAGCACCTGCAAAGTGGTTATATAAACAACATTGTGGGCTCTGAATAACATTTTATGATTGAAACTTTAACATATTTTGGGAAGGCTGGAGCTGCGACAAGTTTCTTTTTGAACAACAAAGGAAAAAATATAAAGCATTTAATTGAACATATGAAAACTTCGAGATATATTTCTAGACCAAATTTTCAAGTACTCCTAGAGGTCAACTTTCTCTTCATATCACAATTGTTATAGAGGGAGGACTTGAAGAATTTTGTTAACTTTTTAGAATAAAATCCTAAAACTGAAGAAGATTAAATTGAAGCAAAAAATAATAGACCCTATAAGTCTTTCTATCGACAAAAGAAACAAGTTCCAAAAGAGATATTTCCATCATGAATAACATGGCAGAACATTGACTTATGGATCCTTTTTCTAAGAAAGAAACTTTAGTTAGTAACATACATATAAAAAAAAAATAACAATAGTAAGAGCCCGTTTCGTAATAGGAAATCAGAAATTAAAAATTTTATTATCAAAATTTGAGATTGTGCTGGGTTGTAGATTTTGAAAACACGTTTTTAAGAATAAAAACAATGAAAATTCAAGAGGTGCACAAAAGCTGAACTGGTAACAGCCTCAAAATTAGCAATTCTAGAAACTACCACCCGGGGCTTCAGCTTCTTTATAAGCTCCACCACCAAATCTGACTGAGGTGGTGCTTCAATTACTATGAGTACATCAAATCTGACTGAGGCGAGGCATGGCGTGGCGGCAATTGGCGAGGCGAGGCGAGTCCTGGCGGCATCTGGTGAGGCGTGGAAACAACGATCGCAGTTGGTTTGGTGAGACGCGACGGCTTCCGGCGAGGCGTGGAAACGACGGGAAGTCTCTGGTTTTCGGCATCTGGTGAGGCATCGCAACATCTGGCGAGGCATGGCGCGGCAGCGTTTGGCGAGACATGGAAAAGAAGATTCGGCTTTGGTTTGTCAACGTCACAGCGTGTAATGAATTTGGGATGGGATCTGAGAAATTTTTGGGAAATTTTGAGACATTGACTGTGAGATGAGAGGTAGAGAATGAGGGGATTTGCATTGCAGAATGAATTTGATTTAGCAGGTCTGATTCAGGAAGTGAAATTTGAAAAAAATATATATATATAATTTTTAGGAAAACTGATGTGACAATTAAGTGATGTGGCAAGTGAGGTGTCATTTGCCACATCAGTTAGTACTTAGGGTTGTACAATCTCATTAGCGCAGATAGCAATGCTCCTGTCAAAAATGGGGGTTGCCTTTTATTTTCCATAATCGTGGTAGCTTAAAAGTCAGCAAAATTTTGGGGGTATACTGAAATATCCCAATTTATATTTAATGCGGAATAATTATAAACCACAGAAACGAGGAGAAAAAGAACTCAGTCAAGTCCACTGGGACCCAGAACAAGTCTTGGGCTTGATTTATTGGACTTACTAATCAATATAAATAATAATAATAATATATGATAATGGTGATAAAATCATCAGCATCAGCTTCAGTTTCAGTAGTAGTTTGGTTGTAAGCGAGTTGGATTTTCTTGAACCTTCTTGTGCTTCATGTAGCTCAAGCTCAGAAGAATAATCAAACTCAATCTAAAGCTACTACAGCTCCTCATGAAGGTCTGCCTCTAAGTTCTATCTTTTCTTTTTATAATTTTAGCTCTGAAAGAAACATCCAATGAGCTTGCCATAGAAAAAGTTAAAATAGAAAACTATGCAGGCAAACTATGCTTATGGTTGATAAAAGAACTGAGAAAATATTCTAAGATAGTTCTTCATACTGAATTCGTTCTTGATTTCATATTTTTCTGCTGCTTTCCTATAGACTTCTTTCATCAGTCTTTTTTACGTTTACTATCACCTGTTAATGCTAAAAGATACTGATTTTCTAGCGAATATCTACATGTTATCATTGTTCTTCTGATAACAGTGAGAGCATTGAATGCATTATATGAGAAATGGGGGATATCTGCAAATCAAAGTCAATGGAATGTAAGTGGAGAGCCATGCAGTGGAGCCGCCATTAACTCCTCGATAGCCATTGGTACCGATGGTTACAGCCCTTTTATTAAATGTAATTGTTCTTACAGGCAAAAAACTCTTTGCCACATTGTCGAGATGTAAGTATCGTAATTTTGCAAAATTTTGTAATTTTGGTACTACATGTTTCTTTTTTTACTGTACACAAAAGGACCTTTCTTTAATTTTAAACCCTTTTATTACTGCTTACTTTTACATTTTCTTAAAATACAGGCAAGTTTACGCACTGCAAGTTGATGCTGTGATCCCAGATGGACTATGGAGTTTGAANTAAAGGGCTTAAATGAGCAAGTCCCATTCAGACGGCCATAACTTTTGATCCGGGAAGAGTTATGGGGCCTGTAAAATACCGTTGGAAAGCTCATTTAGAGCCTGTCAAAAGTCTTTCAACAAATATATCTTATGAAAATTACAATACAGCCCCAACTATGTACATAAATTATAAATATATTTTAAGTATCTGTTGGTTTCATCCTGGGTACCTAGACCTCGGTTTCGATTCCTAAAGTAGTGGAACCAGAACCGAAACCGTATAGTGTTAGTTCCACCAAATTTGGAACCGAAACTGACACCTTGGGTACCTGTTGGTTCAGGTTCTACCTAAAAATTTGCACACCCCTATCAAATAGCATAACATAGCACAATGGGTAATTTCCTTTATTTTATATTAAAGTAATGCTAGTTTCACAAAGACACATACAAAGGGATAGATAAAGACAATCCTCACCCTTGATTTTTATGATTTCTCTCTCTCTTTTTCTGTTTTTCTTTGTTTTTTTCTTCTTAATATTGTTACTTTGTAACCCTCTTTGTATGGTCTTTGTAAGGGTAACATTTTTCTTTATATTAACATAAATTTTAAAACATTATGATATCATCAGAGGGTGTAATTGTTCTGACAATTTTGTCAAAAATGGGGGCTACCTTTTATTTTCCATAATGGTGGTAGCTTAAAAGTCAGCAAAATTTTGGGGGTATACTGAAATATCCCAATTTATATTTAATGCGGAATAATTATAAACCACAGAAAGGAGGAGAAAAAGAACTCAGTCAAGTCCACTGGGACCCAGAACAAGTCTTCACAAGTCACAACTACTTGGGCTTGATTTATTGGACTTGACTAAGAGCAGTTGTAATTGAATCAATATAAATAATAATAATAATATCTTGGTTGATGCTGGTATGAATATGATAATGGTGATGAAATCATCAGCATCAGCTTCAGTTTCAGTAGTAGTTTGGTTGTACGTGAGTTGGATTTTCTTGAACCTTCTTGTGCTTCATGTAGCTCAAGCTCAGAAGAATAATCAAACTCAATCTCAACTCTCAAGCTACTACAGCTCCTCATGAAGGTCCGCCTCTAAGTTCTATCTTTTCTTTTTATAATTTTAGCTCTGAAAGAAAGATCCAATGAGCTTGCCATAGGAACAGTTAAAATAGAAAACTATGCAGGCAAACTATGCTTATGGTTGATAAAAGAACTGAGAAAAATATTCTAAAATAGCTCTTCATACTGAATTCGTTCTTGATTTCCTCTTTTTCTGCTGCTTTCCTATAGACTTCTTTCATCAGTCTTTTTTACGTTTACTATCACCTGTTAATGCTAAAAGATACTGATTTTCTAGCTAATATCTACATGTTATCATTGTTCTTCTGAAAACAGTGAAAGCATTGAATGCATTATATGAGAAATGGGGGATATCTACAAATCAAAGTCAATGGAATATAAGTGGATAGCCATGCAGTGGAGCCGCCATTAACTCCTCGATAGCCATTGGTACCGATGGTTACAACCCTTTTATTAAATGTAATTGTTCTTACAGGAAAAAAAACTCTTTGCCACATTGTCGAGATGTAAGTACTACATGTTTCTCTTTTTACTGTACACAAAAGGACCTTTCTTTAATTTTAAACCTTTTATTACTGCTTACTTTTACATTTTCTTAAAATACAGGCAAGTTTACGCACTGCAAGTTGATGATGTGATCCCAGATGAACTATGGAGTTTGAATTTCCTGACCAATCTGTATGATTTTGTATATTTGATTAAAACTTATTTCAATTCTGTATTATTTTATCGAGTAATAAAATATTTTATTTTATTCTTATTTAATGATCTTTAACTCTCTCCATAATGAAAAGACCAAAAAAAAAGTAAAAATTTAGAATAACATAGAGTATCATATCATTTATACTACCATTTGAGTTTTTTTCTTTATAATCTATATTTGCTTTAATTGTGATTAGTTGTTATTAAATGCAATAACTTGACATGTATGGATTAGTTTCTGTTTTCATGTAAGTAATACTATGGCAGTATCATAAACATTGTATCCACATCATAAAATATTTGGACTTGGTGCTCTTAAATACTTCTTACCTGTTCTCTGTTTCTAATAGGAACGTGGGAATAAATCTCTTGTCAGGGCCACTGTCTCCATCTGTCAGCAATCTAACTGCAATTAAATACAGCTGATATAAATTTTGATTTTGAAACTCATAATATTCTCTCCTTTTCTGATGCTAGTTAATTCTCATTCTGATTAGGAACTTTGGCATTAATACATTATCTGGGCCGCTTCCAAAAGAGCTTGGCATGCTTCCTAAGTTAATAGTATTGTAAGTTAAAAGTTTATCCCCTTCTTAACCTTAAAACCTATAATTTATCTAAATGAACTCTGTTGTGTAATTACGTTACAATTTATAATTGAAGAACTAAATTCTTGGGGATGTAGAGGTATTGGAACGAACAATTTCTCTGGTTCTGTGCCACCTGAGCTTGGTAATTTGTCAAATTTAGAGCAACTGTATATGGGAACATTGAGACTCTTTGGTCCTCTACCATCTGAGCTTGGTAATTTGATGAAATTAAAGCTATTGTAAGTTGTTATAGACTTCTCGGTTTCATTTTCAATGAAAATTTTACTTATATCGAGCTTATATCCATCCTACTCTATAATGTTCTGCACATGGATGCAGAAGGTGAAAACCTCGGCTGGCTTTGGTCTTAGCTTTAACATAAACCAAAATTCTCAGTTACTTCACGTAAGATTATAATATATGATGTGTTCGTTTACTAGGTAATGGCTTTTGTAGGAAACAAGTTACTGAATTGTGATCAAATTTATAGATATTTTTCGCCTTGGCAGATATATGGATAGTTCTGGAGTGTGTGGTGAGATTCCTTCAAGCTTTGCTAATCTAAGGATCCTGGAGTCACTGTAAGGACTTTTTGATTATGTTAGTTCGCTAATTGGAAGTTTTCTAATGTGGATATACATCCTGCTGATAAAAAATGGCTTGTAACAGATCTTAACTAAGCAATTTCTTTTCCTGTACTCAGGTGGGCTTTTGACGTTGAACTTAAAGGAAGGATCCCTGACTTTATAGGAAATTGGTCAAAACTTCAAGTCTTGTGAGTAAACTATTCTACTTTTGTTTCTCTCTTTTCTGCTGAAATTTCCTTCAATTATTTTAACTTCAAGCTTCTTCACTGAGAATTTAAATTTTTTGTTGTCATACATGTTATTATAGGAGGTTTCAAGGAAACTCTTTTGATGGGCCAATACCATCATCCTTTTCCAAGCTGAGAAATTTGACAGAGTTGTGAGTGTTTACTTGCAGCATTTCATTGATCATGTTAGAATTTCACAATAATCAATGCTAACAATCCCTTGGAAATGAAAATGTAGGAGAATAAGCTATTTATCCAATGGGAGTTCATCATCGTTGGCATTTCTAACGAATATGAAAAAATTAACTTACTTGTAAGGCAACGCTGTCAAAGTTCTAATCTCTTATGTTGAATTACCTCTACTTTTTGTGTTTTTCTTCTTGTTCTTTCTTTGATCTCGACTGTTGGTTTCATATATTGCAGAGAACTAAGGAATAACAAAATTTCCGATTCAATTCCATCTGATGTTAACCACTATTGGATTTCTCAATATCTGTTAGTTAATTATTCCCTATTCTCTTTTTTATTTTCCCCCCATTACTTTTTGGTTGGTAGTTAGTTTCTTCATCTTATAATTTTGTAATCCTTATATTTTTCTTCAAGGATCTGAGTTTCAACAATATAAGTGGACAGATTCCCGGTTCGCTTTTCGGGTCAACTGTATTGACTCACGTGTAATCTATCATTTCCACTTTGTTGTGTCATTTACATCCCAGAATAATCTCATTATATTGAAACATGTATTGCTGCTTTTGTACTCAGGTTTCTAGGAAATAATAGGTTAACTGGACCCCTGCCTGCCTATAAAGATGAGAATCTTGTCAACATGTAAGTAATTTTAAAAGATTTGCTTTGATCTCCGTACTTATTAATATATCAATTTTACAGATAATTTTAATGGGAGCAAGCCATTCAATCAAAATGCTAAACTTGCATTGCAGTTTCTCTGTTTAGTGCTTTCCCATTATGAAATCAAAGATGTAAAACATATTCCTACCATCAATCATCTGTATATTGTTTTGATCCATCCAAATTTTATATATGGATATTAATAGAAAAATAATGACTAACATCCAGATTGGTACTTGTCAATTTTCTTTCTTTTCCAGAAAACATATGGATCCATAATCCTGAATTTTGCTTTTTTGTTATATTGCATTGTTTCTCTTTGCTAAATCTGGACTAACAATTCTATCTAGGCTTGTTAAGTAGACTTGTGGGGTTCTCGTGAAAAATGGGGAAGTTTAACTTTAGGATGGTGTAAAAAGATTACAGTAAAAATCAATGTGACTTGGATAATGCCTGAATACTAAATAGTAGCTGTAGTGTGTAGCTAAATTTTTTCTTTGCTTGTGCTTGCAGAGATCTTTCATACAATTATTTATCAGGCAGCCTTCCTTCTTGGATAAACAGACAAAATTTACAACTGTTAAGTCCTGAAATTCTTTTAAATTTAGATTTTTTAACTATGTTTCACTTCCTTTTTGTTAAATTCTTTCTTTTTTTCTAGTTTAATATTCTATGTGCTTTACAAAGAAATATATTCTGTTAGCTCCTAGGTAACATTTCATTGAAAACTTCCATTTCTAGCAAAGAATTGTATTCTATATATTGGGATGAAACTAACATTGCGATTTTATGAGTGCAATCTGCAGAAATTTAGTCGCCAATAACTTCACTCTTGAAAGTAGCCGCAGGTGATTATCTGATTTCTATGTTTCATTCAAATGCATGAAACTCTCTATAGCAAATGTTAGAAAGCATTGTTGTCTACTTAAGTTGTTGATGGTTCAGTTGAGGATTCTTTTAGCATGTTAACCTGTACTCTCAATTTTTTAGAAATAAGTTTTATGTATAAAAAAGTAGCCATACTCTGAAGAAAAGGGTTAATGAAATCAGGTTATCTTTTAATAACGAGGGGTTAAAAGAAATGTTTTCAAGGTTGTTAAAAAAACGTTTTCTTCGAGAGAGCAGTAATTTGTTTTTTTATCCTGGTTGCATGCCTTCAGGCAATATTTTCTTTGGCCTTCATATACTTTTGTTTTTGCTTTTAAACTATGATTCTTTAATAATTATATCAATTGAATATCAAAATCCAATGAATAAACTAGTAGAAATGGGTGATTTAGTGGCAAGTTTTTGTGCTGTCATAATTAATTAAGTTCCTCGTATAAGTGTATTCTTCTTTTCCCCTCAACGTTTTGCCACATGGTCTGAACTGTCTCCAGCGCAATTTTCCTTGCAATCAGGGTCCTCCAGTCTGTAAGTGCAACTCTATTCTGTGGTTTAAGAGTTAAATGTAGTAACAGTAACTAAGGTCAAAAGAGAAAAGAAGGATCTATTTTGGGATAAGCTTGATCTGGGAGATGTACCATAAATATTATAAATCAAACTTTTGGACATATTCTTGCTTTTGTAGATTGGGATACCTTTTCTGGACTTGCCTTGATAAGTGGCTATATTGGTGTTCAGATTCTAGCTTTGCGGTTAACTGTGGTGGTCCCCAAATTACATCTTCTAATAATATTGTGTATGAGATGGATAATGAGACTCTTAGTCCAGCTACATACTATGTGACTGACAAAAACAGATGGGGAATTAGTAATGTCGGATATTTTACTGGGACCAATAATCCGTGGTCTGCAATTTCTTCTCAGTCTCAATTCACAAATACTCTTGACTCAAAACTTTTCCAGTCAGCACGGGTTTCTGCTTCATCTCTAAGATACTATGGTTTAGGCCTTGAAAATGGAAACTATACTATGACTCTCTAGTTTGCAAAAATAGCTGATTTGGATACTACGGGGAGGAGAAGTCTTGGGAGGCATGTTTTCGATATTTATGTTCAGGTATTTCTTACATCTTCAGATTACTTTAGCCAGAAAAGCCTCACCCATGCATCACAAAGGTTTATACTGACATTAAAGCATGATCAAACAACCTTAAATGTATTATGTTTCAGAATATACTGCTTTCAAATGTTACTAGTTTTCTTTCAAAATGAATCTGTTTATTCCAGGGAGTTCACGTTGAAAAGGACTTTGACATAACAAGGGTAGCAGACGGAGTCCCTAGAAGAGCAGTTCAGAGAAAATATACGGCTCGGGTATCTGAAAACTACATGGAAATCCACTTTTTTTTGGGCTGGGAAAGGGACTTGCTTTATTCCCAACAATGGTTCATATGGACCTTTAATTTCTGCTATCAGTGCTGCTCCAGGTTAAAGAAATAGCAACTTCTTTTGTTTTTTTCCCTTTATCCTCTTTTGGTTGATTTCCTAGCATTAGATAAGATATTGATTTAACTACTAAGCTTTGATACAGATTTCGAACCTACAGTAAGACCTCTAAGTGGACGAAGTCCTATCACTAAGAAGAATAGAACAGGCTTTACTGTTGGTGTTGGTGTTGTGGTTGTATTTTTGTTACTTGTTTCAATTCTTTCAATTTTCTTTATTGTCCGAAGAAGAAGAAGAAGAAGAAGAAGGCCACAGATTGATGATAAAGGTAAATCAAAAAAGATCTTCGCTATCACTAACGTCTTATCTATCTATCACATTTCCTAAAGAAAAAGGGAACAATGGACTTAACAAATGCTTGTTCAATTTATAAAGCAAAGGTCCATTAGTGAGTTCTGAAATGCAGTACAAGTTAATATGATTTAACATGGATTAGAAATTAAATCTCAGCTATTTTATTTCAATAGCATCTTAAAAGAAACCAATATACATCAATTTATATCCATAAGCAGTTTGGTCAACTACGTTTTGCTTAATTGCCATTACTTTTTACCGAATTGCTTATTGGCCCTTTCATGTCACACAAAAATCTTACCCTCGATTAGACAATTTCAAATGTTCTTTCCAGCTTTTTCTCAGCTTTAATATGACAAAATATTCCCAGAAGTATTTGATTAGACTAACGAGTCACAACAGTAAGCTATGTTAATTGTTGAATTTTCAGAGCTTCTAGGGATAAATGTTAGACCATACACTTTCAGTTATGCTGAACTAAGGACTGCTACAGAAGGCTTCATTCCTGCAAATAAGCTTGGAGAGGGAGGATTTGGATCAGTTTATAAGGTAAGTCATTGTTCTAATCAAATGCCAAACAGGGTGCTATGCACATTTTTGTGTCTTATGATTAATTGTTTTTCCAGAACAAAATACAGGTTGCAGCATTACTTTTTGTCATAGATCAATGTAAAACACAATCTTTTCGCTTTATCTAGATAGGAAACTTTTGATTTATGTTCTCTTTGGTGCATATAATGTTGTATTTGGTTCATGAAGTGAGCCTTCTAATAATTAGAGCATTAGAGCATTGAAAAAAATAAATAATAAATACAAAAAGTTGATCAAGTTTTTATTGATTTCTTTGACCAATTAACTTAAACTATTTACTCGATAGGGAACACTCTGTGATGGAAGGGTCATTGCTGTGAAGCAATTGTCTGTAGCATCCAACCAGGGGAAGAGCCAATTTGCTGCAGAAATTGCTACCATATCTGCTGTACAGCACCGTAACCTAGTAAACTTCATGGATGTTGTTATGAGGGAACACAACGAATCCTTGTTTATGAATATCTTGAAAACAACAGTCTTGATCAAGCACTATTTGGTATGTGAATAGCATATACGTCAGTACTATGTTTTTCATGGGAGTCCTAGCATTATTGGGTATGTAAATCACAGTTCAAACTATATATGCCATTTGTGAACAGGAAAAGGAAGTTTGGATCTTAATTGGTCGATGCGTTATGATATTTGTTTGGGAGTAGCAAAAGGTCTAGCTTATCTTCATGAAGAGTCAAGGCTTCGAATCATACACAGAGATGTGAAGGCTAGTAATATTTTGCTTGATGGCAATCTCATCCCGAAAATATCAGATTTTGGTTTGGCCAAACTTTATGATGATAAGAAGACCCATATAACCACTCGTGTTGCAGGGACAATGTAAGTTTTTTCTGAAGATTCATATAGTCAGTCTTCTTACATTTGTTAATACCACCATTTTTTTTTTCATTCATTGAGTATATGGTAATGAATAATGCTTTTGTTGCATTGACATAGTGGATATCTTGCACCAGAATATGCCATGCGTGGACATCTAACAGAGAAGACTGATGTGTTTGCCTTTGGAGTTATGGCTCTTGAGGTTGTTAGTGGGAGGCCAAACTCAGATTCAAGCTTGGAAGAAGAGAAGATGTATCTTCTTGATTGGGTATGAATGACATTTCTACTACATTACACATCAGTTCTCTTCTTTTATCGAAGTCCAAAATGATTTCTAGCCTTGTGTTTTGGTTTGCATCATCATGATAACAGCACCAATGAATATTTTATTATTGCCAGTTCATGAAAGCTCAAGTATATATTAACTGTGAATTCTAAAGTCCCAGGAAAGAAAATAGAAGAATTCCAACAGTCTAGATGAGTATAGTTTGTCACTTTTCTAAGATACGAGTCAAACTTGATATGTATGCTAACGCCTTTTTTTCCTTTTGATCCAATCACTCATATCATAATTCGTATCTTTCCTACTTCCCAGGCTTGGCACCTATACGAGAACAATCGCCAACTCGAACTAATGGACTCCAAATTATCAATATTTAATGAGGAAGAAGTAATACGCCTAATAGGGGTAGCTCTTCTGTGTACTCAGACATTGCCCTCATTGAGGCCATCGATGTCCCTTGTGATTGCAATGCTTTGTGGAGATATTGAAGTGAGTACAGTGAATTCCAAGCCAGGATACTTGACTGAATGGACATTTGATGACGTGGCCACCTATGTTATTGATGATACAACTGAGGAATTTGATGATACAGGTGAAGAACGTGATGATACTAGCAATTACATCTCCTCAACAAGCTTAAGTACACTGGATAAAACTCCCCAAAGAAGTACTACTAAAGCCATTCTCCCTTGATTGGCTTTCAGTTTAGATTCCATTTCTGTTTCTTATTAGTTCCCCACAAGATGATGCTTAAAAATGTAACACAAATAAACTCAAGTCAAATATATATACATATACATAGGGCATTGATTTTTAATTACTTGTGAACCTCTGTCAGAACTATTCTGATTGGCACTATCAATGTTGAAAACTTTGGTTGGTCTTTTAGTTTATTTTGAGGAATATAAAAAAAAATTGCAGAAACTTAAATGTCAGGATACTTGACTACCTAGAAATTTGATGATGTAACCACATTTGTTTATGCAACTAAAGCAAGCGATTCTCCCGGCCATTACACTTCTTCAAGTAAAGGAGCTAAAGCTTCACTATCCACCCCTTGTATATTAATATATTTCATTGCCCATTCACATGGGTATCGCTCTTTATATAGGTTCTTGGACTTCGGAATTTATATTTGAGTAAATACTTTTTTCCACTCAAGGTTTGCCTTAATGACAATTTTTCATCCAAAAAGTTTCAAAATATCACTTTCCTACTCAATGTTTATATTTCGTTAATACCTAAAATATATACCAAGAGCCAGAGTAAGAGGGTTTTTGTAAAGTGGAGACCGTTGGATTGAATGGTAGTGATCAATTGAAAATTCACTGCCGAAATAAGTCGGAAATCAACTCAAAACAGAAAACCTTAGCTTTGTGGTGGTTAACAATCAACAAAAAATCAGGTGGCAAAGTGAGAGGGGTTTTATAGAGAGGAGACCAGAGGTTCAAATAGTGATGACGAAGAAAATTTTTACTATTATAATCGACTTTAGGTAATAACGGAATATTAACTTTAGTTAGAAAAGTGATATTTTAAAACTTTTTGAGTAAAAAAGTATGATTAAGGGAAACCTTAGTGGGAAAAAGTCGTTTACTCTTTATATATTTAAGATTTGGCTTAAGGGAATAATACTTGTCTAATAGAACTCAAAACAATCTTTTGCAATCCAGTGACCCGGGACGGGATTTGACAGAAATATATAAAAAGATTAAAAAAAAAAAAAAAACGTTCCATCCGTTCCATTGGGTAAATTTTATTCCCCCTTGAGAGATTGTTTAATTACAGTGACCCCTACTGTTATCAGAAAGTCTCCAAATGCTCCCAACCAGGCACCAGCTGACTAGGTTTTGCTTAATTGCCATTACTTTTTACCGAATTGCTTTATGGCGCTTTCATGTCACACAAAATCTTACTCTGCCTCGGTTAGACAATTGCAAATGTTAATTGGTTTCCTTTTCTCAGCTTTAATATGATAAAATATTCCCAAAAGTATTTGATTAGACTAAAAAGTCACAACAGTAAGCTATGTTAATTGTTGAATTTTTAGAGCTTCTAGGGATTGATGTTAGACCATACACTTTCAGTTATGCACTTATGCTGAACTAAAGACTGCTACAGAAGGCTTCATTCCTGCAAATAAGCTTGGAGAGGGAGGATTTGGACCTGTTTATAAGGAAAGTCGTTGTTCTAATCAATGCCAAACAGGGTGCTGAGCACATTTTATTGCCTTATATGATTAATTGTTTTTCCAGAACAAAATCAGGTTGCAGCATTACTTTTTGTCATAGATTCAATGGGAAACACAATCTTTTCACTATTTTTTTTTTTTTAAAACCCGGTAATTGTAATAAAAGAAAGAATAAAGAATAAGAACCTATAAAAGGATCACCTCTTTAGAGACAAGACCTTGGGCATACCCAAGGCCAAGACACAAGGCCATACAAAATACCAAAAGGAGCCGAAAAAAAAAACTCCTTGGACTCAAAAGAGAAATAAACTACCCAAGACCCTATAGTCTATACAAAAAAGCCTGCACAAGCTAAGAAAAAAACAAGGCTGGAGCTTCTTGACCCTTCAAAGATCAAAAAGCAAAACCCACAAGACCAAAAAGACATCCCAAGCTACTTTAGTTTCACTACCAAGAAATTGTTCATTCCATTGTGCCAACCAATTACGAAGCTGATTAACGTGTAAATTTAACAAAGAAAATCATAATCCCAGTGCTTCTACATATATTACAAGGAAATAATTCCAAATGAACCACACAAATACTCCATGGCCAACCACAACAAACCTCCAGAAGAGTCAAGCAAATCTGCAGGTGGGCTACTGCAGAATTTTCTGCAACAGCTTCCTGGGATTCTGCAATTCCTTCCACACCCACCACAGTCAAACCTTGGCCTGCTACAGCCCAAAACAGAAGCCAAAGGCCTAACCTGCAAATCTTTTCGCTTTATTTAGCTAAGAAACTTTTGATTTATGTTCTCTTTGGTCCATAAAATATTGTATTTGGTTCATCAAGTGAGCCTTCTAATAATTAGAGCATTGAAAAAAAAGTAAATAATAAATACAAAAGGTTGATCAAGTTTTTACTGATTTCTTTCTCTTTACTCAATAGGGAACACTCTGTGATGGAAGGGTCATTGTTGAGAAGCAATTGTCTGTAGCATCCCACCACGGGAAGAGCCAGTTTATTGCAGAAATTGCTATTGTATCTGCTATGTAGCATCATAACCTAGTAAAGCTTCATGGATGCTGTTACGAGGGAGCAAAACAAATTCTTGTTTATGAATATCTGGAAAATAAAAGTCTTGATCAAGCATTCTTTGGTATGTGAATAGCATGTCAGTACTATGTTTTTATTGGGAGTCCTAGCATTATTCGGTATGGAAATCAATATTCAAACTTTTATATGACTTTTGTGAAGCGGGAAAAGGAAGTTTGAACCTTGACTAGTCAACGCGTTTGATATATGTTTAGGAGTAGCAAGAGGTCTAGCTTATCTTCATGAAGAGTGGAGGCTTTGAATCATACACAAAGACGTAAAGGCTAGTAATATTCTACTTGATGGTAATCTCATCTCCAAAATATCAGATTTTGATTTGACCAAACTTTAGGATGATAAGAAGACCCACATAAGCACCTGTGTTACATGGACAATGTAAGAGATTTGAAGATTCATATTTTTATTGTCTTCCTAAATCTGTTAAGATCTTTATGTTTTATGTTCATGGAATATACTGTATTGAATTGTTTTTGTTGAACTGACATAGTGGATATCTTGCACCGGAATATGTCATGCGTGGACATCTTATAGAGAAGATTGATGTGTTTGCCACCATTTTGACGCGTTGGAACAGGTGCATTGAATTGCTATTAATAATTGTGGTTTAATGACATTTGTCTAGGATTGTTATTACTAATTATATAGGTGCATTGCATTGACATTGGAAACCTTTCTTCGTATTTAATTGCGTTGGCATTCAAAAGGTCTAAATAAGGGGTTATAAAAGGGGCGTATGTTCAGTTGTGTATAATCACAATTTGTTAGTTGGTGTCAACAATATGTCTGGTCTTTTATTAATTGTTTATAGATCATTTTAGTTTGTGTCAATAATTTGTCTGTTCTTCATGATTTTGTTAATCGATGATTTTTTATTTATTTATGTTTTTGTTGTTGTTTATAGGTTAAAGATTCATGAATTGGCATGGAATAAAGGTAGGATGTCCGATTGACATTGTCAAATGGGTTGTTATTTTGATTCGTTCTTCTGAACTGTAATTATATCTTCTAACTCTTTTAATGCAAAACTATAATTATGTCTCCTAACTATTTTCACGGTTATTGTTTGATTGAATGATTGTGTTTGTTCGGTCAATTTATTTGAATGATTATTTGTGTTAGTCCTTCCGAACGATAAGTGTGTTCCTTGACAATTTTAATATAAAGATTAATTAACTTTTGTTGTTTTCGTTTTTAGGTACCAATTTTTATACGAATGGATAATTGTTCCTTAACAATCTTAACATGAAGATCGATTAAATTTTGTTATGTTTGTTTGCAAGGAAATGAGGATTTGTGTTTATTTTGTCTTTGGTAGAGTCATTGATTCGGTATGTCTCTCCTGCCGATCGATAACCAAAAAATATGAATTCTTTGATTTTGTTGATTTCATTTTCAAGTTATAGGGACAAAAGTTGACGTGCTCATACAATGGTAAGCATGCTCCGTACCAACTTGTGTTTATTGTGTCGTTGGTAAGTGTAGATGTAAAAAATCTACCGTCATGAAAATAGGTCTGATCCCGTGAGGTAGAGGCCATTGACAATCAGTTAGACCAGGAGTCTTGTCGGAGTCTAGGACTACGGCAAAAGCGTCGGGTTCTTGGGAGCAAGAACTTCAAGAGCAAATAGATGGTTTTGAGTAGAGTAGATTGACTATCGGAAATTGCATGCCTAATGAGAGGGTAAGCCTCTGTTTTTATAGTGAACCCAAGGGGTTGGAATCCTAGTAGGACATTGAGTCCTATTTTGGGAGATAATCCCTATCATGATTTCTTGACCTTATCAGATTAAGTTTAATAGTTTATATAAGATTTGGAATCTTAGTAATGGGAGATAATCTATATCCTGAAAGAGATATGATTTCTTGACCTTATCAGATCAAGCTTAATAGTTTGAGTAAGATTTGGAATCTTAGTAGAAGAGGAAATAGAATGAGATTCTAATTTCCTATTTATAGACTGATGTAGGCTAATGGGCTGAAACCCAGTTTAGATAGCCAAACTAGTAGAGTGGGTAGTTCACAAGGTAATTTTAATCGTAGGCCCGATCGAGATTGGGTTGAGGCCTTGGGCCGTGACATGTTTATTTCGTTATTGGGCCTCGTCAAGCCCAAGACGATTTTTGACCCTAACAGTTAGCCCCCCACTTTCTAAGTTAAAGAGTATTTAGCTTAGAGAGTAGATTTAATCGAATGAGTAAACTTATGAATCAGGCTGGGCCGATCGAAGGTGTAAACTCATGAATCAGGCCAGGCCGATCAAAGGTGTAAACTCATGAATTGGGCAAGGCCAATCGAAGGTGTAGAGTCGTGAATCAGGTAGGACCGATTCGAATGTGTAAACTCATGAATCGGGCAGGGCCGATTCGAAGGTGGAACTCGTGAATCGGGTAGGGCCAATTCGAAGGTGTAGAGTCGTGAATCGAGCAGGGCTGATTCGAAGGTATAAACTCGTGAATCGGGCAAGGTCGATCCGAAGGGGTAAACTTGTGAATCGGGTAGGCCGATCCGAAGGTGTAAATCCGTGGATCGGGCAAGGCCGATTCGAAGGTGTAAAACTATGGATTGAGTAAGGCCGATCCAAAGGTGTAATCCATGGATCGAGCAGGGTCGATCTGAAGGTGTAAATTCGTGGA